CGGTAAATAAAAGTGAGACTTGACTTGAGAAGGTAGAAAGCGGAAAGTAGATGAAGTGTCAATTGAATTTGGAATTTAATTAGATGTAGTAACTGTATAGATATCGAAAATTATTTAAAATAATTTCAAAGTTGCTAGAAACTATGAAAAAAAAAAATGAAATGCTGAAAATCCTTTAGATAAATTATTTTTAAATGATTTTAGATTTTAAGGGTTTATTTTATTCATTTTCTAGTCAATATACTTTTGTGTTATTTAATGTATTTTAGCTGTCGGCTTTTGTAAAGTTTTAAATATTCTTCCACAAAGTCTTGTAACATTTTTACTCTTGGTGTCTTCTTTAAAATATTTTGTATTTTTTCATTCGCCTAATTTTTCCTGTTTTCTCTTAATGTCTTTTACATATTTGAGAAGGTATTCCTTTCTTTTTTATACTCTAACATAGCGCCCGCCGTAGCTAATCAGCTCAAAGTATTGCCATTAAAAATACACTTACCCAACGCACAAGCCAGAAGAAGAAATTGGAAACAAAAACAATAAGTCAATGCAAGGCGCAAGTGGCGCCTGCAAATAAATTGAAACAAATATACATTTCACTTAAATGCAGGCGGCTAGAGTAGGGCAAGAGACGGAAGGGGAGAAGAAGAGAGAGAGAGAAAGAGAGAGAAGCGAATACGTTCTGTTCTACACAGAGAAGTTAAGGGTGGTCAATGGGCACATAAATAAAATATTAGCTATAAGAGTATGAGAGAGAGAGAGAGAGAGAGAGTATGTATGTGTGTCTGTATGTCTGTGTGCTACACTTTGTTAACGCTCACTTCTAAGCTTGTTGCTGTGTTTGTTTTTTGGTTTAGGGTTTTTGGTTTTCTGGTTTTCAACTCTTCGGGAAAAAATAAAAGCGAAACATTTCAAATTAAAAGTTGCTGAACAACAACAAAAAAAATGAAAGAACTTGCAGCTGGCCCGTGCGGCGTATGCGGCGTATGCGGCGTATGCGTAATCTTCAAGTTTCAGCACGAAATTAAGCCAAAGTTGTTCAACTGCTGCTGCTCAACAGTTGTGCAACTGTTCCACTCACATTGTCCTCGGTATCGGCCTCGGCCTCGGTCTCGTCCACTATTGAAAAGTTATTACCGTTCCGTGTATTGGCCATTAGAGAAGCCAATGGAACGCGCAGTCATTAGACCGCATTGTTGTGTACGTTCTCAATTGCAGTTTGGCATTGATTCGCTTTACGTGCGGTCGGAATCGAAAAGAATACGAAATGAAAGCAAATCGCAGCAAATATCAAGTCGAACCTCTCAGTCCGAAACCAAATGAAATTGCAACATTTGTTTGTACGCGCTCTCCCTTTCGCCCACTCGCTCGCTCTCTCTCTCACACACACACATACACACACTCTCTCTCTATCTCCTTCCGGCTGAATGACACACAATGGCATTGACAATGGCCATAGCTTAGGTTGCACACACACACACACACACACATATGCTATACACTTTCCCTTTGTACAAATTTTTGTGCCCAATGGCCATTGAGTTTTATATGCCGCCCTCTCCTGCCTTTGACCTGTTCCTGTCGACAAGACGCAAGGGCTCTTCCCTTGTTCGTTCTGCAGTTCCTGCTGAGTCTTCTTCTTGCTTCATTGTTTGGCAAATTGAAAATGCATTTTTTATTTTTGTGGTCCGGCACCAAGAAAAATTTGAATTTTACTCAGAGTTGTTGTTTCTATGCACGCTCAAGGCGTTAAATAGAGTATATGGGTTTTATGAGAGGTAAATCTTGACGTCTGTCCAGTCTAAGGCCTAGAGATGAGCATAGCGTTTGTATATACTATATACTGTCGAAATCAGACTAGAGAAAAGTCGTACTAAGAATCCCTCCATGAATGAGCAAGCATCTTGCAGTCAGCTACATCCGACTGCAACATTCTTGGTTGTTCTCGTTACTGTTCTCTCCGCTGGGCTGTGGCAGCGCATCAATTACACGCTTATAACAACCAGGCAATATATTATGGAATCAAAGTCATAAAATTCATTTGGCAACGACTCTGGCGCCGTGTCCGTGCGGCCCATTAATTGTGAGCAATGCCCTCTTCAGACCAGCCAAAAAAACACGACTCTCAAATTAGAGACGAGACTTGTGCTGAAAAACTTCTATCTGTTACAAAGCTAAGAATTTTAAATGAATCTTAAGCCTATAAGCGGGCGTTGGAGCGTTGGCATTTGGCATTAATTCTTTCTTCGTTTTATAAGCGTTCCCTCATAGCTTTTTTACGATGTAAACAAATATTTCAAACAGCTGTTAACAACAATTAAAATATTGCTTACGATATAAAGAAACTATCGAAAAATCAAATTCAAATCGCCTTGAAACTCGCTGAGCAGCAACTATCGCAAATGAACTGCTCTTGCTGCAATTATCGATATTTGCCAGGTATCAAACATCGTTAAAATTCAAATCCTGCCTATCGCCACATTTCCGCATCACTAAAGCTCTCGCACGCAATTGCTGATCTCAGCAACTATCGCAATCATTCACACATACCTAAAGCGCGCGCCTATTGATATCTCAGCACGAGTTGTTTATGCGCCATCTCTAGGCGCAAAATGTGCGGCACCTGCGTGTGCTTGTTTACACTAGGAGGAAAGTGAACGAGAGAGAGAGAGGGAGAGATGGGCAGCCAGTGTGGCCGTAGACAAAATTTATAACACATAAAAGTTGATTTTAGCACTTTACGCTTCTGCACATTATGTGGCCCATGGACATGGACACTGCTGTCTCAAATTACAGGTGATTATATGAATTTTAGTGCCTACGACATGCCGTTAGCAGGCAGCAGGCGGGCGGGCTGGCGGGCGATCGGGCGACGGGCAGGCCAACTCGACAAATTGCAGCCCTTTTTGACCAAGTGCCTGCGAATGTGCGGCTTCCTTCCGGCATAGAGTGGCTTAATAGCAGAGGCGTGGCACACACCCATCACACACACACATACACCGTCGAGTGGTGTGTGCGTGAATTCTCAACGTGAAGCTTAACGTAAATAAATACACGTATTTATTTGCTCGGCGATTTTTATGAATAGCCACAGAAATGGCCAAGCATAAAAGAGCGGAAATGGAAGTGGAATTGGTTTAGAGGAATTGCTCATAAATATATTTATGTGAATGCAATTGCAACCAGCTCCGATTTGTAATGCTAAACCGAAATTGAATATTGATATATGCGCTCTCTCTCTCTCTCTCTCACACACTATTCTGTCTATCTCTCTATTTGCAGGCGCCAAGCACATCAGGTAGCCAAATCGCAACCGTCTCACATTTGGTGGCTTTGGCCAATCAGCAGCACAAGCAACTGAAACCCACTGAAACTGTTGAGCAGCGCGTGCAGGAGGAGGAGCAGCTGGAGGAACAGCAGCAAGAACATCAGCTAAATGTGGTTGAAGCAACCGCAACCACAACAGCAGCAGCAGCTGAGGCAGCTGGAGAGGCAGCAACAGCAGCAGCAGCGGCAGCGGGAGCAACAACACCAACTGGCAAGGCCAATGGCAATGGCGGCGTGGAGGTGCTTGAGGATCCGCAGCTGCAACAGCAGCTTGAACAAATGCAACAGCTACAAAAAACAAGCAAATCCGGTGGCGGCGGTGGCGGTGGTGCCAGCACATCAAATGCCACAACAATTACATCGATATCAGCGCTATCGCCACAGACACCAACGACGCCAGCAGCTGGCCCAATGACGACAAAGACCAGCACGCTAACCAGCTGCAACCAGGCGCATCCGTTATGCAGCTCCGCAAATGCCTCGGGCGCGGTAACACCCGAGCCGCGCACCAAACAGCTGCACCTGCAGCTGCATCAGCAACCAAATCCAAGTCCCAATTCAGCCCACAACTCGCAGCAACAGCAACAGCAGCAGCCGGCACAGCAATTGTCCAGCATCGCGAATCCCATGCAAAAGGTGAACAAACGCAAGGAGACGCTGGAGGCGAAGCGTGAAAGGAAAGCGGCCAAAACCTTGGCCATTATAACGGGCGCCTTCGTTGTCTGCTGGCTGCCCTTCTTTGTGATGGCATTGACGATGCCGCTCTGCGCCGCCTGCCAGATCAGCGACAGCGTCGCCTCACTCTTCCTGTGGCTGGGCTACTTCAACTCGACGCTGAATCCGGTAAACATTCATTATGCAAATATAGAGTATATGTAAATAACAATTATAAATAGGTGTGGACTGTTCCTGCATTTGCAACTAGGTTGGAACTAGGTTTTGAGATCAAACTAAAAGTGCAATGAATATTTCTGTTCACACATCTTAAAGCATTGCTAATCTCCTCTGCAACTTCTTTTTTTATAGTTTAAAGAACTGTTTAATTGTCTACGGGGCATTATTTATAGAGCTTACTGAATAGTTCTCCTCGAGGCCAGCAAAATCTTTACCTTTGCATACCTATTCGTCCGTCTCTCTTTCTCTCTCTCTATCTTCTTCCCCTCGACTATGACTGTATCTGTATTTGGCATATTTTGAAGCATATCTCAATCATACATCCATTCACAGTTATAGATTATGTATAATGAGATATTTATATGTCATATATGTAGCTAAACTATCCTCCCTTATTTGGCTCTTTAATGCCAGTTGGCAGCTTATACGACTCTATCGATATATATCGAATAATTAATCCCTTTTCAACCGTGAATAGAAAATTCGTGATGGATTTTAGACATACATACCCCTATTTGTCTAACAGCCAGAAATATGCGTGTCTTTGTACATAAATTCTCACATAAGAGCAGGAGATAATCCCATAATAATTATATCCCATCAGTCCATCTGTATGAACCGTTAACAGTATATAATCCAGTAAAACTCCGCTTAGATGAGAACAATACATTTTATTAGCGAAATGGCATTTCAATTCCCTAAATAACTTCCTTCAATGGAAGAAGTCTTGCTCAAAATATCGTCGATTCACTCAAAGAATTCATCACATATATTTGTATTCACATACATATATAAATGGGTAAATATCTCCATAGCTGTCTAACGTCCATATTTCTCAAAGTTCCACTCGAGATTGTCCAGGGGACAGACGGGACGTGTCTTCAGCCAATGCGAAATGCAATGGAAGTGAAAGGCATGATTGCACGAGCCCCAGGCGACGGTGCACTCGGAGCCGCTGTTGGTCGACTGATTCGCCTGGCATTGAATGCACGGATCCATAATATGATTGCGACAAATGGCACAGTTATCGACGACTATATCCCAGGACCAGAGCGCAACGCCATTCCATTTCTTGACATTGAAACGCTTGCGATCCATGCCGCTGACGTTGTCCTTTCCGATTCCACTTCCATTCCCCTGGCCCTTGTCGTTGTTCTTGCCGTTGCCGCTGTCATTGCCATCGCCGCCGGCTGCGCCTGCGCTGGTTGTTGGTCGCTCGTTACGATTGCCGCTCATTTTCGTTTACTTGTTGTCTAATTGTGCAAAGAATATTTTGTTTGTATTAAGCGAAGTTCTATAAAACTGAATTTCACTTACTTGCTTTTTTTTTAATCTACTAAACTATTTTACGTGCTCACTCGATGCTTTTGACAATTAGAATGGGCCGTTGGGAAGTTGACAGCGTTGCCACCTAAGTTTTTTTGTCAGGGACTGTTTGTATATCATTTCGATATTTATCGATAGTTGAGTTGGGTATTTTTAAGTGTGTTCTGTTCAGTTACTTTGGTATTAAAGAAGCATAGCCTGAGAGTGTTGCAAAATTAGCCATTTTTTAAACATATTTACTACATACATATATTTAGGCAAGCTATCCCTAATTTTCTATGCCTTTTTCGTAAACCAAATTTAATTAAAAAAAAAAACCGTATACAGAAATTGAATTTAGCTAATAAAAACCCATACCCTTTTCTCTCTCTCCCTCTCTCACTCTTTTCACAGGTCATCTACACGATATTCAGTCCAGAGTTTCGACAGGCCTTCAAGCGCATCTTGTTTGGCGGCCATCGACCAGTGCATTATCGCAGCGGGAAGCTCTAGATAGTGCATGCGAAGAGGCGAAGGTACGTATATTCAATGTTATGAAAATCGAAATATATAAACATACATACATATGTGTGTGCATGTATATAAAAGAAAACGTGAAAACATATCCAAAGAAATTGAAAACGATTGCCATTCTGTCCAAACAGAAGCTCTGGCAGTTATTTTTCTTTAATATATTTTTTTCAATTTCGCTTTGCACAAGTTTCAATTTGCAATGTGCTGCAATATTCCGTTATTGATATGGCTTAAGCAGTTGTTGCTGCTGTTGCTGCTGCTGCTGCTGTAGTTGCAGCAGTTGCTGTTGCTGTTTTAGAGAGTGTTTTGAATTTGGCTGTCAACGTATAGTGTCTTTGCTTTGGGCGCCCAATTTCACCAAACACACGACACACACACACTGGCCATGGCCAACACACACACACGCACACACACTCTCTCGCCATCACACCCTCACATCCACTCTCACACGCTTTGCTGCCCGCTTGCCATGGCAGTTGAAACAATTTGTTAGCCTTGAAGGCAAAGTTTCTCGCATCTCTCGACTCATTTCTCAAATTTCCAAAACTGTGAAAAAGTTTTATCCGTCGACTTTATCGGCGCTGTCATCTGCATGCGAGCTGCGTTTTAAATCAGCTCTGGACTGGATAACGTCTAATGCGCCCAAAGGGTCATTCGAATTATGGCAACACAATGCGTGCGTATTTATCTAGACAAAGCCGCAGAGCGCACAGAAAAACGGCTAAAAGTGGCTAAAATTAGAACCAACAAAACAAAAGCTTTAGAATGATGAGCTCTTGATGGATTAGCACGACTAAAAAATACCTCATAGGATTTTAAAAGGCAGAAAAAGACCCAGAGACGGATATCCACAAAGACAGACGAGTAGTGTCTAATCTTTCTGCATCAACGTGAGCAAAACTAATATACCCTAAATTGCATAATTTCAAAGGGCATCAACACTTGCATTTGCACATTTCAGCACTCGCCGACAGCAACAAAATCAGAGAAAAAACTTTAATTAAGTGAAATTAATTTTGCCAATTTACATTTGAATAAGTTTTTTCCCGTCTTCATAAACTATTTCGCAGGCGTTTCTGCTAAGCAGGCGAAAGGATTTGCCTCTTCGTTAAAAATGTATTTAAAGGGCCACAGAAAGAAGTCATAGAAGAAGAACTAAAGGCAGCGGAAGATGATGATGAAGCAGAAGATGAACACCAGCACTCACTACATGCATGTATACCAAAAGTAAAGCATTAGCAGTAGATATAAGAAATTGAGATTATAAATGTATTAAAAATATATGTTAAAATATATACTGTACATAGGTTAAGAGAATTGTAAATAAGTTGAGCGAAAACTGTTGAAAGCCAACAAAAATAATTAAATATAAATATTAAAATAATTTAATGGACTAAAAGCTAAGATTGTAAAGCAAAGAATGACAAGAAACTGTTGAAACTCTATTTAAACTAATTTTGGAAATGTTTCCAAAATTTCTCTTGTAAAAAACACTTCAATTTAAACTAGTTTCGGTATTTTTATATATACATTTGGAGTTTCATTTTGAAATGAAATGTTGACTTGCTGTTGAAAATATTTTGAAAGAGGTTCGGAAACCTCTTCCAATTTTCATCCTAAAAACTGTTTGCTTAAACTTTTTTTTAAGGGAATTTCCAAAAATATTTTGAGCATGATTTTTGTACATTGCATATTTAGAATTTTTTGAAAATTATATTTAGAAAACTGTTTTTAGAAACAGGTTTCTGAGTCTGTGTCTAAAAGTTCTGTAAAATAAATTTAGAAAAAAAGTTTTAGAATCTATTCTGGAAGCTTTATTCTTTTGACAACTGTACTATATTTTCTGCCAAATATTGAAGCTGTACGAACTATGTAATCAAAATACCAAAAATACAAATGTAATAATTAGTTATAAGCCTTAGCTACTAAATAAAACTAAATTCTAGCGAAATCTACTTCCAAATACAAATAGAAAGAAATAAAATACTTTTCAAAAGAAATAATGGAATATTGAATGTGTGTAAACTATTTAAAGACGTAAGATCAGTTACTAGATCATATAGTTTGGGTATGGGAGCATAGCAAATGGAATTTTTGGAATCGTTATAACTGAACCATACAGCATATATATAAACATATATATCTAAGATATAGCGATCTTTAAGTGTGTATAAAATCAGCTAGAAAATAAGTGCAAAACATTTGTTGACTATTTCAAGGGCAATTAGCGCAAAGCCCAAATGTATAATTACAAAATATAAATAAATAAATATTAAATATAAAAAAAAAAACTTTAAAATTAAATGTAGATTTAAAATTGTTTAAATGCAATTTAAATCAATTGTTAAAGCAAATTCTAGTTACACCTAATAAATATCTATATAAATACAAATTGTTGTACTATTAAAAGTTAAGCAAAAAAGTTGGTAAAAAAAAAACAAAAATAAATAAATAAATATGTCAAGGATTTCTTTGAATATAAAGCATATTAAAAATACAGACAAAATAAATTTAAGGGTGCAAAGAAAATTTATTGTAAAGAAAATAACTAAAAAGACGAAGAAGAAGAAGACGATGCAGAAACCACGTGTATTATTGAAAAGCAAAAACTACTTTCGGGAAAAATGGGTAAAACGTAATTAGCAAAAATTTAAATATAAAAACAAAAACTTCATATATATAGAAAAAAGAAGGAAACCCCTCTTAAAGTAAGCAAACAATATCAGAATTGAAATCAAATCGTTTTAATACCCTACAAACTATCGAAAAATAAACCTATTTAAATGTGAAACAAAAATCAAAAAACTTCAACTAGATTTTTAAGAACTTACAGCTCTATCTATGTCTAAACCTAGATATCAAAAAAATAAATAAGAAGACAGTAAATACCTATTCAACCGTAAATTAAAACAAAAAGAAACCGTTTTTGATTTGCTCTATATCACGCAATAATTCCTCACACAAAACACTGATTAAATTAAATTTTATTTGTTACTTTATATAAATTTCCTATTTTTGAAAAAGAAAACAAATTGGCGCGCATTTAGTAAGAATTATTGCCTGATATACAAAGCAAACAAAAATATGAAATAAATTAAATCAAATGCTATGCTATAAAATTACTGTACATTTCATTGGCTGCAAATTACAAATAAACACTAAAATTGAACTTTCAAGCAAAAGTTTTTTATTTTTAAAACTAACGGAAATGCCAGCTGAGACGCAAACCAAAAGGTAGAGAGACCTTTTCAGTGAGAGTCAGTGCTGCTAGTTTAGCCTATTTCAGGCTAGATCTAGCCTTCTGTCTCCCTGTATAGCAAACAGTCTGTCTTTCCGAATGGCTCTCTGTTACTCTGCATAATTACAGAGAATCATTTATATTGTCTATATGTGTGCAGCAGAGCTCATTTGGTATTTATATTGCAGTAAAACGAAGCTCAAATGCTGGCAGCAGCAGAGAGCGTTCCCATTGGTCACTGAACACTCTATTACAACGACCACTACCTAGCGTCGAGCACGACGTTTGAGAGCGACTCTCTGCTTGACTGATGGTCGGCCTATATAAAGGGCCGAAGGTGCAGCGATGCTTCAGTCGCCCAGGCCTGGTGGGGGTCACTTGTGCAGTGCAGTAAAGTGTTGTAGTGTGTGTAAGGAAATATTTGGAGCCGATAATTGGAGGAAATATTTAGAGGACATAATTCGACTAAATAGAATAGAATGGATCTAATTTTGGCGCTCAACAGCGAGCAGCACTGACGAGAGGCAGACTAAAGTGAACGGAAAGGCTAGCCTATACACAAACCATATTGTATAGCAACACTTGTGTCTATAATACAAACGCAAAAATGTATGGCAACATTTTGAGGTAAGTTTGAAACTTTAGCTTAGACACGAATCGAAATGGGTAAAATATGTAGCAATAATCTTAGTGACAAATCTTAGCTGATGACCAACTCAATAATTTATAGCAACATTTGTATTGTCTACATGTGTGCAGCAGAGCTCATTTGGTATTTATATTGCAGTAAAACGAAGCTCAAATGCTGGCAGCAGCAGAGAGCGTTCCCATTGGTCACTGAACACTCTATTACAACGACCACTACCTAGCGTCGAGCACGACGTTTGAGAGCGACTCTCTGCTTGACTGATGGTCGGCCTATATAAAGGGCCGAAGGTGCAGCGATGCTTCAGTCGCCCAGGCCTGGTGGGGGTCACTTGTGCAGTGCAGTAAAGTGTTGTAGTGTGTGTAAGGAAATATTTGGAGCCGATAATTGGAGGAAATATTTAGAGGACATAATTCGACTAAATAGAATAGAATGGATCTAATTTTGGCGCTCAACAGCGAGCAGCACTGACGAGAGGCAGACTAAAGTGAACGGAAAGGCTAGCCTATACACAAACCATATTGTATAGCAACACTTGTGTCTATAATACAAACGCAAAAATGTATGGCAACATTTTGAGGTAAGTTTGAAACTTTAGCTTAGACACGAATCGAAATGGGTAAAATATGTAGCAATAATCTTAGTGACAAATCTTAGCTGATGACCAACTCAATAATTTATAGCAACATTTGTAGACCACTGAAATTATGCCCAGCGCAAATTTGAGCTCACTTGAAGTTGGCTACGTGCAAACTTCTGCTCACGTCAAGTTGGCTGTGCGAGCAATATAACTTAAAGTTGGCAGCGCGCACAGTACTCAGTGCTCGCTTAAAGTTGACAGAGAAGCACAGCTGATTTCGTATAAAGCGGCGCGAATTTTTACAAGCGGAAAATAATTTAACCTTACGACGTTTTTTTCCGTGATTATTTTATGTTTCTATAAAGCATGTTGAACTTGAATTGTGTTATTTGCGCGGAACTATTTACGCCTTCCGATGAAGTCTACGTTACCTCCTGTGGGCATATGTTTCACCACACTTGCCTCATGCAATGGCTCGAGCGGTAAGCGAAAATTGCATACAGAAATATAAAATATATAATTTAAATTGAACAAATATATAGCTCAAAAACTTGCCCACAATGCCGCAACAAATGCACAACTCGCAATATATTGCGTGTGTATTTCAATCTGGCCAATTTGGATGTAAGTCGCATCGATGTGGGCTCGCTGCAGGAGCAACTGGACAATGCGAATTTGGCCATTCAAATGAAGGACAAGGAACAAAAAAAAGCCGAACAACATTTGAGGGAGCTAAAGGAGACCCAAAAGAAGTGTTTGTAAGTTAATTGAGAATATTACATATATATGTATATATATGTAGTAAGTAAGTCCCATTTCCTATTTACAGAAAAACTATAAGTGGCTTGGAGACCAAGCTGAGGAAGAATGAATTCACCATTACCACCTATATAGAGCAATTAAGAATGCTTAAAACCGAAGTGTTGGTCATTGACTCCGTGCGCAGGGAGAACAAAAAGCTGAAGGAAGACATCAGCATATTTGAAGGCATTGCATCTATTTTAACAGCAACCGCTTCCGATACTGAAAATTTGCTAAGTAATGAATCGAATCCTCGAGTCTTAGCCAGTTGGGTTTCAACACTGAAGCGGGAGCTTCGCCAATGCGAGACCAAGAAAGCGGAGTTACGAAATGTAATCAAAACGGTACAGAATGATCTTCGCCGGGAGCTGGACTCGAAACGGTAAAGTCAAATAATATCTATCCTATGTGTATATTAAGTAAAGTATTTGTCTTGTTGTTAACCTATATGCAACATATCATAGTGTATTTATTTTTACTCTTTTTGCCACTTCAAGCAAGCTGGAAGACCAAGTCTCACAGCTAGAGAGCGATCTGTATCGTACACAACAGAAGGTAAGAGTAGAGAAACGACTTTAGAAATTAATATATATTTTATATATTTCTTATCAACAGCTTAAGATGAATAAGTCTAAGACAATAGATTTGGATGCTTCCAACAATTCCTTAGGACTCAACACCAACCTTATAGCAATAAAGCAAGAGGAGAGACGCAACACTATCTCTCCAACAACTGTATGTATTAGAATATGCCATAGAATGTATATATAATAATAATACCTTTACAGAAGGAGAACATAAAGCGCATTGAGGAGTCAACCTCACCCTATCTGAATATCAAATCGAGCAGCGTTGGCATTTCGCATTTGCTCAAACCCCCCGAATTGAGCATGACCAAAATCTCGCCGATCAAGAGTGGATCAGGCATCAGCATGGCCTCACATGGTGTTATACGTAAGACTCACAGTGATCTTAGCGAAAAGGTGGATATTCCATGTATTCAAATGTAGTGATTGAGTAACATCCTGTATTGCTCTTTATGCTACAGTACTCGATATTCAAGAAACCACGTCTGCTGGCCGCCACCTCCACCTCTTCTGCCGCAATGGGCTCAAATTTCGCATACAATGGCATGGGCGGTTCGGAGAAGATAGATCCATTTTTGCAGCGTGATGAGGAGAAGCAGGACTTGCCGACGCCTAAATCATCAACAATTAATTCACGCTTGAAGGCGGGCACGCTGCGTAACTTCAAATTAACCAAATAAAAATAGATATAATAGCCAGAAGAAAAAGACTGCATCAGCTTTCAAATAGCAATAATTTATAGATGAATCCTATGTTAGCTCAGATTATTGTGCGGTTGCGTTTTGAGTATGTATGTGCTTAAAAGGTAGCTAGCAATGAATTATATAAAAGTATCAAATATATATATGTCCTCGTTTGATTTTTTCTATTATGCGGCAATTTTCTTTTCCGCCGTGCCGGTCCATTCTTCGCGCAACTGCACATTGCAGCCAAGATCTCGCAGCGCAGCCTTGATATCCTGCGCCACCGACGGATGCTCCACCATGGCCGCATTGAGCAAATCCTCAACGCCAAATGATAGCCAAGTATCGCATTGATCGCGTGAACGGGAAACCATATTGCGTATGGCCCAAGCGCCATTGCGCTGGAGTATCTTATTCTTGGGGTGTTGACGCAGCGCCTCCACAATAATCTCAGCAATTCCTGTTTCAAAGAAGGCAGCGCTATGTTCCTTGACGCGCAACGTAAGCGTCGTGATGCAAGCTAAGGCAGCCGTGAGAATATTCTCGTTTGTCTGATGCGTCTCAATAAGTTGTTTGATAATCGGTGCCACGCCCTGCTGCACAATGTGCGCCTTTACAGCATCATGGCCGGCGAGGGCACGTAGGAGTTTTAGCGCCTCGCGATTTAGACGCTCCTCATTCAAATTATTGCGCATTATATCGAAGATAATCTTCAGACCGCCGGCATCGTCGATGACCGTGCACAGCTCCTGTCGCACTGCCAGCGTGCCAAGGGTGAGCATCAAGTCGGCCAGAACATTGGCATCCTCATAGGCGGGCAACAGCTCCACGAGCTCGAGCAACATTTCGTTCGCTATCTGTCGCGCATGCTCGTGGGCACAGCCGAACTCCACACGAATATCATCGTCCAGCACAAGGAATCTCAGCACTGCAGTCAACTCCCTTAACAGCCGAGGATTGGCCTTAACCAGCAGCGGTTTCATTGCCTTGACGGCATTGCTAGCCATAATACTCTGTCGATTCATTTCGTGCATAATACACGCCTTTTGCAGCCATTGCAGCGTGAGGCATGTCACTTCCAATTGATTCTCCAGTGCTAGCAATTGAAGGACTACACCCATCGCCTTGGGATCATATAAATCGGGTTGTTTGTGCGTTAAACTATTTACGGCCTGCAAGCATTTGCACAGCAATTCTGTTTCCAATGGCTCCACGGCCAGCGTTTGCTCCAGCAGTTGGACAAGTGCATCGTGTGCACCAAGTTTTCCTGCGAGCACGCGATGGGCGAGCGACTTCTTACATTCCTGATCCAAAATGGCGAGAAGTTCCGTAAGTTGTGCTTTGTCTTCGTTTTTTTCGTTAATGTGTTTCTGTATTTTGGCCACCGTTTCATTGATAACTGGCTTACCCGTATCAGGATTTATGGCCAAATCTTTTATAATGTTAACGAGGTTAATGCCCTACAACAAAACCAAAATAAAGACAATCTAATTGATTGATGACGCATACAATTTACCCACTTGTGCTTCAAATTGCTTTATTGTCTCCTCCTTGGCCTCGGAGGGACTCATTGCGAATTCGACCACATTTTCCTGGACAACATCGTCGAATGTCTCTTGAGAAATAATTTTAGACATGTCTCACTATTAGATATCCACTCCAAATGCTGCAGCTGTTGATTTATCAGCAACGTTTTTTGTGCTCTCTACTTTGTTCCGCAACAACTCCCACACACAGAGCCAGCGATTGAGCGAGTTTCTTTGTTTTCAATTCCAGATACACTTGAAACTGACTGTTTAAATGCTTTATAAAACTACATACAAATAATGCCGTTGGTTATAATAAAATATACAAATATATAAATCAGACTTGATTTGTGTACAATAAATTGTTGAACTCTTTGTAAAATGCGCAACTGCAACTCAGCTGTTAGCCTGCACTCAGGGCTGCAAGATTAATCGATGCAATTTTAGAGCCACTAATTTCAAAGATTCAATGCCGAAAATGGTTTAAATTTTGTTAAAAGCCTACTAATTGAAAAACAATAGTACCTTTTTAAAATATAATATTATTTTTTAAATTAGTATCGAATTCCGATAGAAGTTTTTTTGTGCTCAAACTTTTCGAGTCTATCGATATGTATATATCGTCAGAGCATCAACAAGCCCAGCTAGCGGCAGGGTCACGGCACGAAAATAGTTGATATTTACCTTTTTTAAATTTAAGTAGGCGTCACTTAATTAGTAAAAGTTTTACTTTTAATACAATACGAATTATGGGGTTTGTTCTATCGAAATTTCGTGTAAGTATGGCAATTTTTAAATGCATATTCTAATAGGCGAATGATGCCAAAGCACCGACCTATACATATGTATATACTATGTATGCAAAACAGATTTACATACGTACGCATTTCTAATTATAGAAGGAAAAATCTACAACCGCTGTTCTGGAAGGTCTGCAATTGCAGATACAAGATCTAGAAAAATATGTGATCAATACGCAGGAACAGAAGAGGCGATTCGTAAGCAACTTTGTTGGCTTCACAATTGGCGCATATATCGTGGGCTTTGCGCTATGGTATTTCTTCTATTTCCCGCCAACAATGCAAGAGCGCATCATGTACTTGGTGCCGCTGCTATTGTTTCCATTACTGTGAGTAATCCAATCAAGCCCAAACCAGACGTTCGATGATCTCATTACAAAACAACAGCAGTTGCTCATTATATTTCGTTTTATAATTATATTTCAGCATCATTTTTCTACGTCAAATGTTTACGTGGTATTTTCAGCGAAAGCTCAACAAAAATGGCGATAAGCTGGCGCAGCTCAAACAGAAGAAGACAAAGATATTAGAGCAGGTCATGGACAAGGAGACATACAAAGTAACTATAATTCTTACGACAGTTACCAATTATGATAATCGATATCTACATGCATGTATGTGTGTATATGTTTTGAATTAGGTGGCCGTGCAACTACTGGAACGCTTTGGCGATAAGCAACAAAGTCGCATCAGTGGCTTGCTCTCTAGCAGCACAGCTCGCTCGCTCAATCAGAGCAGCAACTCCTTAAATCGCTCCGTCAGCTCCTCGCTACAGCGTACACCGCAACCAGCTGGAGCTGCAGCGGCAGCGGCAGCAGCACAGCGCAACATGTTAACACCTTATACCGGTGTCTATCGAAATATGAATAACAACAATGTAAATACAAGTGTAGTGGCACCGCAAATGGCACTGAATACAACTCCGCAGACGCGCAGCACGCAGGTGGTACGCAGGCGCACGCCATTTCCTGTTGTCGATGAGAGTTCACGCAGCGCATTGGATCGCTTTGTGGATTTCATTGTGGGCGACAGTCCACAGAATCGCTTTGGCATGATATGCAAGGAGTGCCACAGACATAATGGTAATGGTGCAACATACAACTAAATTATATATACATATATACATTGATATTTCTTTAGGCATGCTGCCGATGGAGGAATATGAATATACAACATTTCATTGCGCGTTTTGTGGAGCGCTTAATCCCGCTCGCAAGGAACGTCCTGTGGCACCACGCCTCTCGCTAAACGCCGCGCAATCGCAAACGCCAACTCTAATAAAAAATGGAAGTTCTGATAGTGATTCATCAGACGATGAAGACGAAGATTCCGGTGACTAATATATATATAATGCAATATACGCCTTATCACCTAATAACTATTGTTTTTCTTTACAGAGGAAGATAATAAGCATTTAGCGCGTCGCGCGCTACATAAAGAATTACCATCGACTGATACTGATGCCGATATGGATATGGAAGTGGATGAAGCTGATGCCGAGGCTGATGCTGAACCCACCCCAGCGACTGCAACCAAAACGGAGGAGACTGAAAGTGCGGCCAGCCAGACTGAAACTGAAGCTAAGGCCAATTAAAATTTTCAACTCTCAAGAGTGCGCCATGAACAGGTTTAGGCTTCGCAGAGCGTTAGCTTCAAATAAATACAACTTATATGTATAAATATATTGCTTAGAGCTAATAATTAATTATTACAAATAACACACATTGTTTGTAGGCAAAACTAGCTTAGAATCTTTGTTCACTTAGTCAGTCCTCCCCTCACTAGTTTAATATGCAAACAAGAATTACTTGAAATACAAAATTGTAAATTGAATACAACGAAGAAAAAAAATCAACAAGATAATTACTTAAGCATGCAAATTGTATGCAAATTCGCTTTCTTTTAGACGCCACACCTTAATGCAAACGCCCCGTTAAGTGCTAAAGGAAATTGATAATTAAAAGACAAAAAATATACCAAAGGCAGGCGACAGCTAATGGCTATAATAATTCGCAGTGTGACAAAAAAGGCGAGCACGATAGTTGAGACACACACACACACATTTGAATCTGACAGGCGACAGGCTATACAATGCCAGTGTGACAAAAAAGGCAGACACGATAGTTGAGTTGTCAAAGGCAAGAACAAACACGCACACAAATGCAGACCACTTAATTGTATATGTGTGCATACATATGTGAGTGCATTATGCGAACGGTCAGCAATTTCAATTTCGCTGGCTTTTATTTTTTCCGGGCCATTGATCAAGGCTAACGAGAACAGCTTGCTCCACCATCACCGCCAGCAGCACCACAAGCAATAACCACCTACAAGTGGAGCAGCCGCGCCCGCGCACATTCCTAGCCAATGGCTGGCTATCAAGCTGACTGGCTGGCTGGCGGCAGTTGCAAACACAAATTATAAGAATTAAACTAAATCTGTTACAAACGTTGCCAGCAATTGGACACATGCAGCACATGCACTGTTGCAGCTTCATGCATAAGTGTGCGTGTGTGTGTGTGTGGCAGTGTGTGTGTTTTTCTTATTAGCTCATAATTTGTGTGACAGCGCATTTTTCGCCTCGTTATTGAGTGCTGCCCAGCACTGCTTCTTACGTTGGTTGTCCTTCTCCCTCACTCTTGAGTGCTGCCCACCAGTGAACTCTGACGTCCACGCTCTATCTCTCTCGCGCCCGCTCAGCCAGGAAGTCGAAGTGCGTGCGTTACGTTTCTCGTTTATTTGGCATTGGCATCAAGCTACATTGCGTACGGCCCACAGCTTGGACAACGCGCGTTTTTTTTTTAGAGGTGACAATTGCAGTGCAACAACATTTGTGTGCTCGTATTAGCGAACCGAAAACCTGCTTCAACTAGGGTTGGGCAATTAAACAATTCTGATAGGAAATAAAATTGCGTCTATCAAGCTAGACTTTTAATGGAAATTTTATATGCGATAGAAAAATTAGGAATTTAAATTTTTTTTTAAATATATATTTAAATATATAAATATATTGAGCGACTTTTTAATTCGAATATTAAAATTAAAAACTTAATAATTATATATTACAGAGATTTAGTTCTCTTATAATAATTAAATTAAATATTTTTAGATAACTAAAATTTTTTAAATAAATAAATTTGTCTACAAATAGAAAACAAATATATTTTTAAATTTATTAAAATATAAATATTAAATTATTGCTTATTATTATTCTTGAATATATGCCTATTTAATTGCAAATACATATCTATACCATTTTATGCCTCCTCAATATCTAATACTTATATTATCATTAGATTAGAATTTAAAAGCTTTTTGCAGTTCATCACAGCTGTTTTTGGCTCAAATCCTAAAATGCTTGAAGATTAGTGAAATATTTGAGCGAATTTCCAAACACAATTTGGTAAAAAAATATTTATATATATATAAAAAATCGTAATCTTATGTAGCCAACCCTAGCCTAGAATCTCAGAGCCTGCTGCAATTCTATGTGGCAAAGCATTGAAACTAGTGCAAGTTCGCTGCACCGAAAACCCGTTTACAAGCGCCTTCCGGGCGAGTGTGTGCACAAAGGTAAATATGTATGTGTAGATATGTATATACATATGTATATTTACATATATGAATACATTTGTATCAGGAGCTTAGCGCGTTGGCGAAGGTGTCAGTGCATGGCGGCACGACTGGGAGAAACCTGCGGCACAAATAAAGTGATTCACGAACAGATTCCGAACGTGTGGCATGTGGCAAGCGGCATGTGTGGCAAGGGTTGAGAAGCTTGGCCAAAAATAAACAGCGAAACGCCAACGCGCCAAGTGGAGCAGGCCAACAAAACAGACGCCATAAGAGACAATGTTTAGAATGCGAACGGGGCTTAGTTCATTGCTATTGCTAATGACGGCTGTAACTTGATATAAACATACATACATACATATCGGCTATATATGTATGTATACGTATGCATAGGTGTTGGTGTCTGTCGATTTATTTGTTCGCTCGCTCAACAAAGACTCTAATAATAATCTGTGTGGCCAATCAAGCAAAATATGCGCGAGATCAGTCAACAACAACAACCACAATAGTTGCAACCACACCAAATCTTAGCCAATGAAAGTGAAACCGAGCCCCGAGTCTCGATTCTAGCCGGCATAGCCGAGAGAGCCAAGACTTTGCTCTGCCGCTCGTTCGGGCCTATAAAAGCTAGTTGACGGCTGTGTTTGTCCCACAGTGCAGCGCTGACCACAAGTCCAATTGGAAGTTTAATTATATTCAATTTTATAGTCCAATTGGCAACAAGGATTACCACTTACTACCCCCAACATGTTCTTCAAGCTGGTAAGTCAAAGTTGGCCGGAATCGCTCAACAGTCCTACAGCTGCTGTGATGCTCCTTTGCAGCTCTTCGTCTCCTGCTTGGCTGTGGCGCTGGCCAAGCCACAGCATCAGCCCGCTGCCCAGTATCCGGCTGGTGTCAATCCACAGGACTGCCCCAATTTCCCGCTCTGTGATAATGCGCGCCTGCACAATCCCCAGTCGCAGTGGCAGCAACCGCAGCCCCAGTGGCAGCCGCAGCCCCAGTGGCAGCCACAGCCCCAGCCCCAATGGCAGCCACAGCCCCAGTGGCAGCAGCCGCAACCTCAGTGGCAGCCGCAGCCCAGCTGGAACCCTGCACCCGCACCAGCGCCCGCCGGCGGAGACAAATATCCAGCTGGCATCAATCCGCAGACCTGCCCCAACTATCCCTACTGCGATGTGAATGCCGGCCATGCCGCAGCGCCTGTGGCCGCACCACCATTGCCCGGCTGGACGGAGCGCCTCTATCCCGCTGGCGTGTCTCCACAGCAGTGCCCCAACTTCCCCTACTGCCACTAAGAGCAGCAAACGCATCTTTTCCCTCTCGACATACTCTTTTCCACTCTATAACTGCGCGATTCTCTCCTCATTTAGCTTCCTTCTAGTTCTCAACTTTTGAAATTCTTGTTCTTGTTGGCGTCAAATAAAAACTGAAAACAAAACATGTTGGTCACATAAAAAAACTAAAGTCTACTCATTTTATTTTATTTTATTTTTATTTTATTTTATTTTTTATTTTTATTTTTATTTTTATTTTATTTTTTTTTTATATATATATATATTTAAGTGAACTCTCTTTTGCAGTATTGTGTACAGTCTGATTGGATATTCAACAGAACCTTTGTGGCTATCTAAACTTCTATTAACATGACCCGAAAACGGATTTCAGGGTTGCGCTAAAATTATTATCTAAATATAGATATACATATGTCTGCAGAAATCAATTCTTAAATAAAATATATTGTCTAAATATAGAAATATGTATACAAAAAAGAATTATTATATATGTATGTATTTTATAAATATATTTTTTAGTATTTTTCTTTAAATATATTTTGCAACTTTTGTTATTTTTTATCAAAATTCGTAAACATTATTTTTATTTATTTTTTTTAAATTCAATTGATTTTTTTTTCGTAAGATTGTATACTTTCAAATTTAAATAAATTTAAAGAAAATTGCTTATGTAGCACATAAAGCAATATTTATTATATTTATATAAAATATATATCCTTTTTTATTTAAAAAGAAATGGTTAAATAGTCTGCTGTTTATTTATTTATTTATTATTTTTTATTCTGTTAACTTTGTATGTTCTACTAAACAAAATTTTAATTTTTGAAAAATTATAGAGTTGAAAAAATTGTGGAATATTTACTTTACATTGATATATATATATATATATATACTCAATGAGTCTTTGAATTTTGTTCTATTGTATTGCTGTCTGTAATTCGCTATTCTTTTTGATTTATGGTTAAGTCTGTAATTCATTGATCTATGGTTGCACATATGTACATATATAATGTATTGTTTTGGACTTAACCGGATTTTTTGTATGTCATACCATATGAACTCTTGAAATTTTTGGATATTGAGTTCTCTATTCTAACTCGATTTGTGGCCATGCTGATGTCTTTGTGTATATAAATAAATATATGTATGTGTACACAATCGAATTCTAATCAAAATTGCCCTAATTCATTTAATTGGAATAGAGAGTGCTCACAATCGAAGTCAGTTTTGCTCGATTCCGATTTGATTTATGTCCCACTCTTTAGTTGCTATCATTAAGTTCAAGTAAATACTCGTTTTGAAAAGTTGACTACAATCTTTGTCATAAGCCACGCCTCGCTGTCTGTTGCCCTCTTAGAGCAATAGATCACCATATAACTTAGCCACAGACAGTGCGGAGGCTGATGTAATTGAAGCTCACGATAAATGCCAAATGAAATATGCTAAGATCTGTTGGTTTAACAATTTTGCTATTTCCCTTTTTATAGGTGTGAAGCAGAAGTGTGAAGGATAAGTGTGAAGTTTATTAATATCCATAATAAATTTTAATATATGCAATTATTTAAATTTTCGTATTATGCAATATATAATAGATCTTGCATATATTTTGATATTATGATATTGATAGGCCTAAATCCTAGTAAAAGTCCTTGGCTCGAATGAATTTGCAATGGACTTTTGTGATCAATTTAAATAATGATAAAGTTTAAATAATATTATTATTTTTAGCTAGAAGTTTACTTATATATTTAGTCGTTAACTTAAATCTGATTAATAAATCTTACTAAAACTTTTACTAAATAAAAATAAAAATAAAAAATAAATATTATAAATTATGAAAATAATTTTATAATATATTAAATATTATAAATTATACGACCTTCTGACCCTTAGAGCCCTCTACTCATATAATTGGTAAATAATTCAAGTTAATTACACAAATTAGTCCTTGACTCAAATCACAATTACCCAAAACTTTGTTTTGTCATAAAAGCGTTAACCGAAAAAGAAACCTTGTGTCATGTACTAAGAATGTGCCACGCCCACGCCCACGTGCCGCCCAGCAATGGAGATATCAGCTTACAAGCGAGCGAGCGTTTCCAGTTCCGCGCTTGGAACAAGGAATTAGACAGGTGATCAGCACAGCTCGATTGCTTGGGCAGCAACATGGGTTGACGCCGTTGTTGTTGTTGTTGCTGGTTGACCCCGAGTTGGATTTTGTGAAAGTCGTTCTTGCAAAACGGCAGCGGCAGCAGCGGCGGCGGCAGTGGCGGCGGCCACATCAAGCGACCAGCCAACTGGCCAAGGTCAAGTGCAACTGCAAATTAAAGCCAACTGGAGTCGAGCACACACTTACATAACCCGAAAAAAAAATTAAACTAATTAAAAAGAAAAACAACAAGCACATTTCCAGTTTACAATCGACAAAAATCTCACTTTTATTTACAGGCATTAAATTAAAATCTTTAATGCGTTTGTCTTTTCACTAAATTGTACAGATATTTACAAAGCCGCTCTCGCTCTTTCAATCTTACTATGCCTATCTCTGTTGCTCTACCAGCCATGGGAGAGGGAGGATGACCAGCCCTTGTGGAAATCGTGATGATAGTCGTGATGATCCTCGTGCACATGCACGGGCACGATCTCCTCGTGGTGCACATGGTGCACGGGCACCTCCTTAATGACAGGCACATGCACCTCCTTGTAGACGGGCACATGCTTCACCACTGGCACGGCGATCTTCTGGACATGATGATGATGCACCGTGTGCACCTTGTAGGGCACATGGATTGTATGATGTTCACTGGAGGGATTTGAATTGAGAGAGGATGAGAATTATTAGGAGGAAACGAAGTCAAATTTTAGATTGGATGTGGATGTGGATAAAGCTAAGTATTTGTATGAAATGAAAGTCGAATTGGGTTATCCATAACTCGTATAAGCTAAGAAATGAAATTGGATAGTTGCGGATAAAACTAAAGGCTAATAATGAGCTTTAATAGCAGAGATTACAGTTGACTCATGCGGATAAGGATAAGAAGATAGGATATCATGTAAGCAAGGAATCATGTAAGCAAGGATTCTAGCATCCTTTACTATCAAAGGCTAATATCGACTGACTGGGATTACTATACAGATAAGATATGAGTTCACAGAATACCCTATTGGAATATAAATACCAATCAGAGCTAATGAGTCCTAATATGAAGTAAGAATTGCTATGCAAATTCCAAATGGGAAAGTGAATAAAAGTGAAAATGTAAATGTCTAAGCTAATGATATGCTTGGAGGGGGAGGCGCGTTGCGGCGAGGAAGGCGTTGAAGGCGGGGAGATCGATTGGTGCATTGTCCAATTGGCACTCAATGTTATTAGCTAATCAGCTAATGGCTGGCAGTCGTCTCGACTTGTTTGAACGGCCCGCTCTCTGTTGGCAAGTTGCTTGAACTTGGCGCGGACGCGGAGTTCCGAGAGAGTTCGTAGCAGTCGGCGCATGGTCGATGCTCGGAATTTTTAATTGATTCAATGCAATTATGTGCGCATTATAATTCGCAAGCCAGCAAATGCCAAGCGTCGCCTCGAAAATTCCTCAGCGTTGCGACCAGGTTCACTGTCTGCCAATTGAACTCGATTACAATAACAGCAACAGTATCTCACTATATATACACATGTGTGTGTATATGTGTAGGGCTCGGAGTGTTTACTTAGCTCTATTTATATGGTGATTACTTCATTTGGATTCAATTACATTCATAATTCATAGCATTTAAAAAGCCATACAAGAGATCAAGCCGATCATAAGCAAAATCGATTCAAAATCAAACTTCGATTGCACAACAATACGGAAAAACGTTTTCAGATGACGCTCTACCAGGTGGTAGATGGCAGATAGTAAATGTTAGATGGTAGCTGGTTTAATGGCAAACGTTTTGTATTGATTGTTATACGTTATGTTAGCTAAGCGGTTTATGGCTGAGTGTTTTATGGTTCACTTACTGCTTGCCAAAGAAACCGGGACTGGGCGCGCAGTAGGCCACAGCGAAGATCGCAGCAAAGATCTGTAAAAGTTAACGAAAGTGTTTTTAGGGAAATATTTAATGAAATTAATATTATCATTATTTTACAAATATTAATAGAACTTATTCGAGAACTAAAAACTAATTTTTCGGATCTTTCTTTAAGTTACCAAATATCTTATATCTTGATGTCTGATATTTATAAGGCATAGAATGGTTTATTTTATGATAGAATTTAAACTTGATTTAGGAGAAAACTGTAGACATATTTGACTAATATTAAATTGTAAAGTTATAGTTTTTAATTTAAGTTTAAATCAGACTCTAATATATAAATGATTCCACATTAAATACATTCAGCAAAAAATTACTTTATACGAATTATCAAGAAATCCTATTATGTTTTTCTTGTTATTAAAAAAATTGAATTTTTAATGTTAGCAAAATACAAAATTTATTTTACTCTCAAAAAAATTAATTCAGGACTTTATATTTAAAAACAGAATTCGATAAAGGAAACGAAAGTGTTTACCTCCTTAAACTCTTTTAAATTCTATTCATATATCTCTTCAACTTCAGTTAACAAATTGATTTTAAGGTATTGCCTGAAAAGTTACGCCCTCATATATTTTAGAGTGAAAGGGTTTCGTTTAGCCCACAAAAGTTAAATAATAATACGTAATTTATTTGTTGCTCAACTTTAAATTGGCAAATAATTTTTGTTGGTTGGGCAAATTTTCAATTAAGGCCAAATCAATAAATGAACTAAAAATAATATTTTGACTAAAAAAAAGTAAAATAATTGCCGCTTTGTAAGTGAAGGGCAAAACGTTTAATGACCAGACCAAAATTTGTTGACGGATTTATGTAATTAAATAAATGGAGATTGATCTATGATTGGATCTACAGAAATATGCACATATATAAAATTATATGTCATATTTAATTTAACTTTTAAAAATCCAGAATAGAAGCTATTTTATTGTATATTAGTGGAATACGTTTTTTAGATTTAAAAATTATTATTTTTAAGGAAAAAAATTTTGTTTTTAAAATTTAAAATATTTCTTAGCGAATTTCATAAAAATATTTCTATATATTAGTGTTAACTAAAATGTTTGTTTTGTCTTTCAAGTTGAAGTATTTTAATAGAATTTTTTTTTTTTGAATTCTTTAAAGTATTTATATATTTTTTTCTTTTTAATTTACTTTCCAAACAGCCTAATTTTTTTTTAAACTTTTTTATATTTGACTAAAAAAAATCTAACAAATTTTGATTGCTTGGTTAGTTAAAATTTCGTTTAAGCATTTTAGTTTTTTGTTGGAAAAGTTTAGGATTTACATCGAGGCACAGTTTGTTAGTTGGTAGAGACTAACTCAGTTTCATATGAAACGTTTGTTATATAACTTTTGGAATGTCTTTCATTCCTGTTAGAGTGCTGCACTATTATATAATATTTATATATTTTTCACACGCGAATCCTTGTTTATTTAAGTTTTTTCTTTTTTACTAAATGAACACTCTCCTCTTGGGTTTTGGGCACACTTACAAAGACTTTAAGAGCGCTCATATTTGGATATCTGTTGTTGTTAGCTTAGTTTTGCGAGCTCGACTCTGATTTTTTGGTTTATGACCGCTGCGTTTGCCAATGTCTGCCAATGACTGATAACCAATGGCCAATTGCTCATCCGTTTTATACACAATTGCGGGCGCTAACAGCGGACGCCGCAGCGACGACAGCAACAGCAACAGCAGCAGCAGCAGCATGAGTCTTTGCAGTCGCACCGACGACAACAGCAACAGCAAAGCAGCAATCAATGTAAAACATACGTGACGCACAGCAGCAAAAGCAACAACAACAGCAGCAACAGTCGTGGCTACAGTCAGCAATAGCAGCAACAGCAACAACAAGAGCAGCAATAGCTGCAATAGCAACTATAACAGATATCACAACAGTTATTACAACAGCAACAATTGTCGCAGCACATACAACAGCACAAGCAGCAGCAACAGCAACAACTACAGGAGCAGCAGCAGCAGCAGCAACAACATCAGGAATAGCAGCTACAGCAGCGACCGCAACAGCAACAACAACACCAACATACGCTTTTAAGTGCTTTATGAGTTGCTTAACCAAGAGGTCTGCCCACTAGTCAACAACAACAACAACACTCTGGGGCAACTGTTTGCTATGTTTGCTGCAGCAAAGGCACGCATCAGTTGCTGCTGCTGCTGCTGCTGCCAAAATGAAATCACATTTAAAATAATGAAGACGTTGTCGTTGTTGTAGCGACTGTTGTTGTCTCTAGCTTGACATGTACAATCGAACTTTGACAGGGCAAATTTGTGTGCAGATTTTTAGTGTTTTCTTTCTCCTTAAGACAATAAACAACATTAGAGAGCGAGCGAGAGAGGGAGAGAGAGAGTGTGTGTGTGTGTGTCTGAAGAAGAGAAAGAGCATATTGGCTAGGCAGTATTTGGTGGAGAAGTTAGACTTGAGGAAGTTGCTGGAAATAAATATTGTATAATTGCAGCTGGAATAGCAGGTTTTTGGATGTAGGCCAGTAGTTAGATATATTAAACATGTTTGTTTAAGATCTCTCGAATATATGCCATATACATATCTATAAAAATATGCCTAAATATTTTATTATATATTTCTTTTTATATTTTAAAAACTTTTCATTTATCAAATAAATTCCTTCATCCATCAATCTATCTCTTTATCTATATATATCTATACATCTAATTGATTACAAATCTCTGAGCGAGCATTAGACAGTCATTGACGGCTACATTGACAACATTCTGATATTGTCTTACTGATATAGATGTCACAATGCGATTTATTGTTTGCAATCGGCTTCTGAAATTATTCCATATGAATGATCAACTGGCACATAAAGCATATATGTGATTACCTAAATACACATACATATATATTGGCACGTATTGCTCAAGAGCCAAAGAGCTGTCCAAAAATACATAAAAAAGTGAATGTCAGGGCAGCAACAGCAACGGCTCAAAATTGTCGTCTTATCCCGTTCAGATCAAACCCAAAAAGGAAAAACAAAAAATCATCTTTGTAGACGACCTTGACATGCTGTCTGCACATAACAGCCACTGTTACTTTTATTGCTGTTATAATTGCTGTTGCTGTTGGTGTAGCTGATGATGTTGCTGATGCTGCGGTTGATGTTGCTGTCGTTTAATATTGCTGCTGCTGCTGCTGCTGTTGCTGTTGCTGTTGCTGCTGTTGCTGCTGCTGTTGCTGTTGCTGCTTTAGCTGTTGCTGCTGCCTTTGCTGCTGTTGCTACTGCTGTTGCTGCTGCTGTTGTTGCTGCTGCTGTTGCTGCTGCTGCTGCTGTTGCTGCTGCTGCTGCTTTTGCTGCTGTTGTTGCTGCTACTGTTTGCTGATGTTGCTGTTGTTACTGCTGTTAATACTGATGCTGCTGCCGCAGGCTCTGCTGTTGCTGTTAATGTTGCAGCTACTTCTGATGCTGTTGTTGCTGTTGCAGTTGCTATTGCTGCTGATATTGCCTTTGCCAGTATTGTTGTTGGTATCGCCTTTGCTTTTGCTGCAGCTGTTGTTGCTGCTGTGTGAATTGTTGCTATTGCTGCTGGTATTAGCGGTGTCAATTAAACGCATTAAATGGGTCACAATTGTCGTGGAGGCGGCACATCCGATCACAATCACGCCTCACGTACGAGCGTCTGCTTAGCATGAGCAACACCAACAACAAATTTGCAATAAAACGCATTTTTTTTTGGTCTCGTTTTTTATTACCAATTTTGGGGCAATTACTTAACCAAATTTCGAGCCCTCTTTTTTCCCTATTTCTACTCCTCTGTTTTCTTTAGCTAATCAGCAAATGCAACACACGCAATTGATTTAACAAGCATTTGCCGATCGATTTGTGGGTCGATGCCACAAAATAATAAAACGGATTCACATAACAGATAATTGCGCAGATGCACTCTGTTAAGCTTGCTGTTAACATAAGTCGCTCATGTTAATGTTAGTGGCAGTTGTTGCTGTAGCTCTAAACTGAATCTGTCAGAGTTAATTAGCTTAGGGCAATCTGTTCATAATAATTTTACAGCACTGTTAAATCCAGTAGAGCCTGTTATGGGTGCTAAATGTGCAGCAGCAGCTCAAGCATATATAAACAGCTTCTGATTTGATTACAAATATTACGAGCAGCACGCTATTAAAAGAGGCTGTTTAATACTTTTTAAATCGTTAAATATTCCAGCTAGTTTCAATTTTTATTGCTTGATACACATCAAGCTCAATCGGTTCATTACCAGAATTAGCTGACCTACATACATATGTATGCAGTATGACAAGGACACCATCAATGTTAGGCCTTCTGTTATGTTATGTTTATTAATATAAGTGATGCAACAGCAATAAATCAGTTTAACAGACTTTTAATGCTGCAGCCATAGCTGCCTTTAATTCTGTTACGTCTGCTGTTAGCTCTTTTACTGCTACTGCTGTAACTGCTATTACCCCTGTTAAGCTATGGTCAGCTAAATGGGCTGTTGTTGCTAAAAGCTGTTAAATATTTATTGCGATGTTGCAGGCTGTAAATGCTGCTGTTACGACTGCACTTCGATCGCCAGACGGTGTTATGTGTGTATGGGTGTGTGTATTGCTATCCATGTATATGTAGGCCAATTGACTATATATTTCAGCTAGAGGGCAGTGCAAGCCAGCGCCCAGCTGCATTTGAAGCATTTGCAGCATGTTGCATGTGGATGTTATGAGCGCGCCTGCCTGCCCCGGCCTGGCTGCCACAGAAATTGCCCCGCTTTGACTTGGCTGGCAAAAAAAAAAAACGTTACATAATAGTTATTTGTGTGATAAATATGCCAGCGAAGTCAAATGCGTGCCCCACACCACGGGAAGAGAGACAGAGACAGAGACAGAGACAGGAGAGCGAACGCGAGAGTGAGAAAGAGAGCGTAAACAATCATATGCTTTGCTACTGTCCGGATTATAACTTTCATTTTCAGCGCGCGAATCCCAGATTGCAAATGCAAATGCTTCCTGCTAAGTCAGTTTTAGTTGAATACCCTGGAAATCATTGAAAGTGTTTAGGCAGGGTATATGGTTAAAATGGTGATGTGAAAATTACCAATATATAAGATAGTCTAAATGAAACACTAGTTATTAAGGAACACATGTCCTTGGTACGGTAACTATAGGAGGAATCTGCCTATTCGGCTTGTGTTGTTGTATGTATGTATATGTACAGGGTAACTGATAGTCTGGCATTTGGCGCAGTCTTCCGTGCTTTTTCTTTCTCGATTTTTCCCCAATTAGTTTCGTAGAAATGTGGGGCATGCAACGCTAAACAGCTGTTCGACCTGTCATTTCGAAGCAGCTCTACATCAATTTCGCAGCAAGCTTCGACTTAATGTCGCTGTTCAACGCAATTGAAGATAAGTTTGATGAATATGGGGTGATTGAACACAAATTGAATGCAATACACACGAATCGTTTATGATAAGCAGACAGGCGACTGCGCTAATGTGCCCCCCTCATGCATAGAAATTGCTTAAACCAGTTATACGTACCAACACCGCCGCACTGCCTCTATCCAATATCAGCCAAATAGCCCATTAAGTGTTACCAATTCTATGCGCATTAAGAATCCGATTCGGTAATTAAGTTAAACAGTTTATGGCAATAAATTGAATTCATATTTTTCAATCTGCTTAATCTAAATTGGCGCTTGAAGTGTTCTACATTCATAAAGCTAGATCATATACGTGTGTGTGTGTGTGTGTGTGTGGGTGTGTGTGTGTCTGTTACAAACTATGTAAAAGTGAGGTTAGATTGCATAAGTTAAGGTTAGCTTTTGGTAATTTCTGCATATTTATGTATATGACTTAAGCGTGAACAATTTTTGGTTATTTAGGGTGTAAAAAATCGAATTAAGTATAGTAGCTATAGTAACTATATCTTAGATCTCTTTGAAAGCGAGTTTAGATTGCATAAAGTAAGCTTAGATATTGTTGATTATTATTCTCATTTTCTTTAAGTATTCACAACTCGAATTTCAATTCAATATTATCTCTTAATCTGGCTGCATAGCTTAACGTCCGTCCATCTTAGCTATTCAGTTCTCATAGCTTTGATGGAATGTAAATGGCTCGCTGTCTGCCACAACTTGGTCTATGCTTACTTAAGATCTTGATTAATCAATTTCTGACTAGCAAAAGGCAGATATTAATATTCAGAACCTCTCAGCCATGCTTTGCATATATGCCATTCAAGGCTTATTCGGAAGAACCTATCTATCATATACATACATATGTAAATATACATACATATACATATCTATCTATCTACGCCCCTTCTTTAAAGATTCTTCAGCAGAATTTCTGTTCGCAATTCTTGTGAAGTAGCCGCAGCAAAAGTTTTGCATGGCTTATATAATTAAGTTACCAACACTATACATACATACATATACATATATGTATATGTATATGTACATATTCATTGAGACCCATCGGTCTCATCGTTTCACGTTTCCTGTTCGCCCACAACTGTCAATCACCTTTGTGATAAATTTATGCCGTTTACCCAATCGATGGATGCAGCGCTGTGTTTTCCATAACAAAACGTTTTCAATTTTACT